CAAGACATACGAGCGAGGCGCCCTACCCTTTCCCGTCAACGCTCGCAACGAACGTGGAAGGCTCCGTCGATCATTGACAGATCCTGCCACGAGTCGCGAGCTCGTCGATCCGGCGCGAGCCGACCTGCTGACTCTCAAACCGTCCCTACCTGATCGGGACTACCATCATCAACCGGCCGGTGATCATCGATCGAGTGAGGATGGCTGATCATCAGGAACTCCTATTTTTAGACGAAGAGATAACTTCTTTGCAACCGCCCAAATAAAAATAAAACGATCAACATGAAGAGATAAAAGAAGTTCATGAAGACACTTCCAGCTAGAGACAGCAACCCTCATTGAAAGACATCGCGATGCCGGATCTGGGAAGCATCTCGTGCAGCACCATCATAGATGCAAATCACCCATCGCAGTGGAACCGTTGACGTGCCCGGAGGAATCCAAGCCAGCCTTGGCGAGAGATAGCCAAGGTCAGACAGCGTCAAAATCAGGGCAAATCCTTCGACAGGCGTGGTCAGCTTGTGGTTTGTTACACAAGAAGCCAACGGTTCGTTTGTATCCTATGCCCACGTCGTCAGCTGCATCATGCTGGGCAATACAGAGAACACCATCTAATGTTTCAAGCGGGGACACACGCTCCCCTGTCACTCAAGAACCGGCTGTGCTCACCGGCTCGTCGGGTACCGATCCAGGTCCTTCGCATGGTCCGTTGAACCAGGACACTGGCCATGCATGTGGCGCGGGAACGAATCATTTCATCAAAGTGACTATTCAAGTTTGTATTTTTGGTTTTACTCCTAAACGACGCCGGTGCTGGTATCAATCAATGCTGTTCATAAAGTAGGCACCATGTAAGGTATGCAAAAGAGAACAGACCCCTACAGCTTATTTCTTCTCCTCAAGGTATGCCTTCCATCCCACACTCTGCAACTTGGCTGCCTTTTGCTCCACCTCGGTAGACATGTTGCTCATGTACTGAGCCATCTTCTGCTGGTACTCAAGGCTGGAAGAGCCAAGGATCTTGACAGCCAGCAGCGCGGCGTTTGTTGAGTTGTTGATGCCAACGGTGGCAACAGGGCAACCGCGGGGCATCTGCACGATGCTGAGCAAACTGTCGTGGCCGTCCAGGTGGGTGGCCTTGACGGGAACACCGATGACTGGCACCGTAGTTTCAGATGCCAGCATACCGGGCAGGTGAGCAGCACCGCCAGCTAGGTTTCATGTTAGCAATGTGATCTTTGGAAAGTAATAGGCAAAGCATACCTGCTGCGATCAGAACCTTGATACCACGCTGAGCAGCAGTCTTGCCAAGCTCTACCATGCGGTGGGGAGTGCGGTGTGCAGAGGTAATGTCGAGGTCGTAAGGAACCTCGAATTTCTCGAGGATCTCGAAAGCCCCTTGAAGGACCTTGAGGTCGGAGTCAGAGCCCATGGTGACGACCACAAGAGGCTTGTCTGAGTTCCGCGAGCTGATCTTCTTGGCCTTGATAGGAGACTGCTGGAGACGAGGCTGCCCGGACGAGGCGTCGATGCGAGCCTCGCGCATATAGTTCACCTCGTTGATCAGGGGCGCAGCCAACTGCTCCAGGTTCACGCCATGTTCGTAGGACGTGACGGTGATGTGGCCGATCTTACGGGCCGGCTTAGAAGACTTGCCGTAAAGGTGGAGGAAGATGTCCATCTTGTCGTCGTACAGGGACGTGGTGAGATCAACAAGCTCCTCGTGAGAGTCTTCGCGCGCGCCGCCCAAGATGTTCAGCATGATGGCACTAGAAACACGGGGCTGCAGCTTGATGGACCGCGGGAGCATGTCTAAGATGGAGTAGAGTTGCGCCTTGTACTGGGACATGTAGGGCACAGCCTCAATGGTGTAGTGGCCAGAGTTGTGAGGACGAGGGGCAACCTCGTTAACGGTGATGGTGCCTATCAGATGTCAATCCAAGATCAAATCATGACGGCGTTGGAAACTCACCATCCTTTAGGAGGAACATCTCAACAGCAAAGACACCCCTTCCCTTGAGCGTCTTGACGACGTCGCCAGCAACCTGGCGGGCCTTCTCACAAACATCAAGAGGGACTCTGCGAGGAGGGTAATACACCTTAGTGCAAATGCTCTCTTCGTGAATCGTCTCGACAGCCGGGTAGGTGTGGACCTTCCTCAGCTCGCCGTCCTCGTCCTCGGTGCGGACGACCATGACGGCAAGCTCCATGTCGAAAGGAACCCACTTCTCGGCGTAAAGCGACAGCTTACCCATCGCCTGAATAGCTGCCTCGTAGTCCTGAACGCCATTGACTTTGAAGTTGCCGCGGCCATCGTAAGAACCCTTGCGGGCCTTCAGCATGAAGGGGAAGCCGAAGCTCTTATAAGCGGCCGACAGGCTCTCCGGGATAGCGGGGCTGGACTCGATGGCCATCTGCGGTGCAATGGGAAGGCCGGCTCTGGCAAAATGCTCCTTCTGGAGGAACTTGTCCTGGATAAGGCGCAGAGTCTGCCAGTGAGGGTGAACGGGAACCTTCTTGACGGTGCCGGGAGCAGTGATAACGCCGCGGGTCGCAATCTCCTCGAGGACCTCGGTGTTGACGTGCTCAATCTCGACAGTAATGACATCGCACATGGCCGCAAGCTCCCTGATCTTTGCGGGGTCCTTGAAGGAGCCGGTGACATGGCGGCTGTTCTGGTTTGCCATCTTCGCAGGGCAATTGGCCTCGTCGAGGATGGCGATATCGATGCCGAGAGGCCCCGCGGCCTCGCACAGCATCCGGCCAAGCTGGCCGCCTCCAAGGAGGCCGATGGTAGGCTTCTTGACCATGTTGGAAGGCGTGAGGGCGGGTTTGGTGTAAGTGCGAAGGAGATTGGAACCAGAACGGATGCGATGGTTCAAGAACAAAAATGGTGGAGAGGTGGTTCCCGAGGGAAGAAACGACTCATCAATCCCGCATTAACAGGGCGGATGGAGCAAAGTTTTGAGTCGAAGTTTAGAGATTTTGACCTTTTCGGGCAGGCGGTGAAAAAACACCCCGCCGTTATCGTCGCTGTCGAGCCCCACCCCCACTATGACAAGCCTACAGGGTGAACGGCAGGACGCCACAGGGCCCCCCTGGTCCACCAAAAAATGCCATTGACATGCCCGCGCTTTAGACGTTGTAATTCTTCGACCTCAGCCCCCCCCTGCCTGCCCATGAGACTCATTCTCATCGCCCCTCCAGATTGAGATTTTGAACTGCCACCACCACTACGCGCTTGTGTGGAAGGCCGGAAATCATGGCGGCAGAATTGTACGACGGGACGATTTCCGACAGGATACAGTGAGTGAAAATGCCAAGCTGTGCTCTCGTTTTGTGTTGTTGCCCAGCTGGCTCACCTGCATGAATCATCTAGTCCTCTCAAAATCTTCGATGCAGCCAAGAGCCAGGACAGGTTTCTCAATGTCTCTGCGCCCATGGTGAGATACAGCAAGGTAGGAATCCCGGAACGTTGCTCTGCCGTGAGAGAAATGAAAACGATCTCACAAATTGTCAGCTTGCCTTTCGTCAAACGGTTCACGAATATGGTACCGACCTGTGCTGGACACCCATGATCCTGTCCAAGGAGTTCAACCGCAACAACTTTGCGCGTGACAGCGGTTCGTCTTTCACCATTACCAACTGAACCGGCCCAGAAGTTGACGAATTTGAATAAAGATCTCACAATTTCAACCCAGGGCGTCCAGCCCCCCACGATAGTCCAGTTCGGCTCAAACAGCCCCATAGAGCTCGCCCGTTCATCGTCCTTGGCCGCCCCTTATGTCAACGGCGTCGACCTCAACTGCGGCTGCCCCCAGTCCTGGGCCTGCGCCGAGACTCTCGGTGCTGCGCTCATGGAGAAGCGCGAGCTTGTCCGCGACATGGTCATCGAGACGCGACAGCGTCTGGCAAACGACGGCTGGCACGTAGGCAAGGAGCGTGATATCGACAGTCCCAAGGGGCGAAGTGTCAGCGTCAAGATCAGGGTACACAAGGACTTGAGGAGGACGATGGACTTCATCGACACCGTCATCGGCAACCCCCACGATCGCAACATTGACTTCCTCACCATTCATCCCCGTACGCGCCATACGGCCTCCAGCACCCCTATCAACACGGAGTCGCTAGGTATCCTGCTGGAAAAGTATGGAGACACCCTCCCGATCCTCCTCTCTGGCGATGTCTTTTCCATGGCTACGTTGCCGCTATCTACTGTTTCAAAGACAGTATCGGAGTCAAATGGACGGATTGCCAACGGCTTCACACCTTTCACTCCAAGCGGAACCAAACTCGCGGGTCTCATGTCCGCCCGTGGCATCCTCGCCAACCCGGCCATATATGCCGGTTACGAAGCCTGCCCCTGGGAGGCTGTCGAGTCCTTCATGCGTCATGTCATCCGTGCCCCTATTCCCGTGAAGCTGGTGCAGCATCACCTCCACGAGATGGTCGGCCCAGGCATGGGTCCAGACAAGAAGGCGCTGCTTGACAAGCAGGAGAGGGCTGCGCTGCAAAGGCTGGATAGCATGATAGACGTGATAGACTTCATGGACGAGGCAATCAACCGCAAGACGGGTAGGACAGACGGGTTGCGACGTGAACCAGCAGACAGTTCAAAATTATCTATACCATGACGACTTGGTCGTATTCCGCAAAGATTTCATCCAGTGCATGTATTAGGAGCACTATCGAGGTATCGTGCTATCCGAAGCAGCGCTTGCGTCATGAGCTCTCAGGTTCCCACCCTCCTGAACGCCGTGCCCTCGGTGCTTTCTAGATTCCAGACGCGAGCCACATTGCTCGAATGCAAGGCTGCCTAAAACGGGATCCGTATGATATACTAGGGTGATGCCGCACCCGTGGTCAATTGCCTTTCGACCGCCAGTCCGCATGCCGTGAAGATCGATGGACCTCCCAAACGCCGGGTCCCTAAATAATTACAATATTCAAATTGACGATCCTCGTGCCGTAATTGATGATCCTCGTTCTGCCCCAGTATTTTAATCCAGGACCTCTCCCTCATCCTCATCGGATAGTCTCGCGCGCTTCTGGTCCCGACCCTCAGAATCAGACTCAACTTCCTTCCTCTTGCCTGGAGATACGGCGCCGTTACCATTCGCTCTTTCCGGCTCCTTGAGAGTAGCCTGTGATCCAGACTCGGTGTTGGTGACATCATCGCGGCCATTGATGCGAGCCCTGGGACTTTGCGTTCCCCTATCAAGTTCGAAGGGCGTGCCCGCCGTCGATGAAAGGGCATCCTGGCTCATGGGGTCTCTCGGCTGCCTTGTGTTCTCCAGATCGAAGGCCGGCGATGGGAGAGATGGGTTCTGCTTCCTCAGCGGGTTCTCCGTGTAGAATTGTTGCATGATATCAATTGCGCGAGTGCATTTCCTCTCGTTGCCCTTCAGGGCCTTCCACCACGGTTCGCCGTTGACGTCTTCAATTTTATTCTTAGTGTGCACACTGGCAAAGAATATGGCGCAGATGGCTACATCGCGAGCCTCAAGCAGGAGAGGGATCGATGTGAGGCAGGCGTCGTTGCACCAGGCCCATGCCGACTGGCGCAAGTGCTTATTGTGGACAATGTCGAGCTGGCCCAGCAGTTCGAATAGCCGCTGATAGGGATTGTCGACCATTAGGTCAAAAGTAAGCAGCTCCAACATAAGTTCTTCGTATGCCAGGATGCTGTCCCTCCAGCGCCAGTATTCCTTGCTCATTTCATCAATCATGAGCTTCGGGTTCTTCTGCGCGACTTTTGCAACGGTAATGATGATTTCTTTCGTTTTACGGCAATTCTCTTCTGTCTTGTTCGCAAGGAAGAGAGCTGTAGCAGCAATGTTCTGTTCGATCGAGTCTGTTAGTTCTGGCTCGGCTTGGGCTTTCTGAGTTCCTCGCTTGGATCTGGGAAGGGACGTCTGCGTCTGACACTCGTCAGACCCGAGCTGGATCGTAACGGAATCAAAGGGGGCAGCGGAAATATCTCACATAATGGTGAATGCCGCCCTTCTCCTCAACCATGCTGTATCGCATGTAGAATCGATGGAAAAAGACGCCCGCAACCCAAAGAGTGATCTGGGGCAGATCGAGCAGGACGCCGGCTTGGTAGATGAAGTTAACACCTTTTGCGCGTCGAAGTCGTTCTTCCGCCGGGGAAATTCCATCCAAAACGCTCGGCGTGCTCAGTGCCTCGTCGTTAGTGAAGTACCACTGATTGGGTGGGGGCCCAGACGGGCTTTGCGCCCTTGAGCGCTGTGGCGATCGCGCATCTCGTTGTGAAAGTGGTCGAGGCGGTGAGGTTCGCGAAGAGTGTGTCGGAGGAGATGGAACGGCTGGCGGTACGTCCAGGCGACGCGCAGGAGATCTCGACTGCCGATCTGGCCGCGGAGGACCTGGAGGGAGAGTAGGCGGCTGATAGGCCTCTCTTGATGGCCGATAGCGATCGATGCTAGCCATCGCCGCAGTTATGCTAAGGTGATTTTGGTTCGGCGATTGGCGTGGTGCAAAAAGATAGATTGGTCATGGGAAGGTGGCGCGCGCTGTCGCAAAGTTCGAGATGGAGTTGGATGATGCAGTACCTTGGTCTTGCAGGAGTAGTGGATTTTGGGTCCTGTTTGAGTCGCGTTATCTAATCGCGAATTTACTTCCACGTGACCTTGAGTAGCCACTTAAGACCCTTGACTTGGCCCGTGCCTTGCTCTGGCGTCGGCTTTCTTAGTTCAAGAATGCGGTCACTGAAGCTCCTTGCCTTTACTGTGATGCATGGGTATCTCGTTATTCTATTTGGGCTTCTATTTTCGCAACCTGCCGGGTGGCCTGTCTAGATTCCCTCGCCGTCATTGCGACCCCAGAGCTTCACCGTCCGGTCATGCCCTCCGCTGACAATCCACTTTCCGTCTCTGCTCACGTCCACACTGGAAACCGGACCGGCATGTCCACTTAGCGTCTGGATGACTCCCCAGTTGTCCGCCGAGAAGATCTTGACTTTGGCATCAAATCCACCAGATACGAAGAATGTTCCGGCCTTCTTGGGCTGCTGCGCACCGCTCTCGTCAACCCCAGGGGGGTGCCCATCAATCGGGTCGTCCGTTCCCTTGAACCACCTGAGATCAGACACGGCCTTTGTGTGAGCTCCCAGGTTTGCCGTCCTTTGAACCTTCCGAACGTCCCAACACTTGACCCAGCCGTCTGCCGATCCTGACAGCACTCGGTGTCCATCCGATCCCCAGTCGAGGGCGTATATCGGTTGGATGTGCTCGTCCAGAATCATCACTGTCCGTCCTGATCGCAAGTCCCAGATGCGACCAATGCTGTCCAGGCCGGCGCTGGCCAAAAGGGAGCCATCCGCGTTGAAGCTCACTGCATAAACACCTCTCGAATGGCCTTCCTGGAGCAACAGCTCCGCGGTGGTCTCCACGTCCCAGAGTCTCCATGTCGTGTCGTCTGAGGCAGATGCCACATACCTTCCAGAGGGATGGAACTCGACACGGGACACGCGAGCACTATGACCAGACAGCGTCGACAGCGGTGTGTCTTGCTCAAGTCCCCACAGATGCACCACACCTTCGGCTCCTCCAGACGCGACATTGACAGTGTTCGGAGACACATTGGATTCGGGCAGGGTAGAGCCCGGATACCATGAGAGACCGCTGATCTTGTTGGTATGTCCTCGCAGGTTCATCTTCTGCTCCAGGCTGGGTACCTCGATGAGTTTCAGACCTCCTCCCCAGTTGCCCACCGCGACAATCTCTCCATTCGGTGATAACCTCGTCATGCTGACATTTCGGTCGCCAGCTGTTTGACTGCCCTGAAGCTCGAAGCCCTCCAACTTCTCCTTAATCTGTTTTCGGAACTTGACGTGCGTGCGCAAGGGAATTGTCGACTCTGCTTTTTGAAATTGGACTCGTCGTCTCGCTCTGGGGAGCGAGTATTTGACGAGATCGATACGTGCTTGTAACAGTGCTGGGCCTCCCGGGGTATAGAATTCTTCGTCTTGGTCGTCCGCGTCGTCGTCTCCAGCCTCCTGCATTTCGACATCGACATCGTCCATCTCTTTTTGAATAGCAAGTAGGTTCCTCAAACGGTCTCGTCTTTCGGGCTTGCCCTCTCCGAACAGTGTAATGGGCTCGCCCAGCTCTCTGAGCCTCGCGCGTACTCGGTTGTCGTCGGTAGGCACCGCGATGCTGGCGGCCAACTTTTTCCTTTCCATCTGCGCCAGAACGGCGGAGGCTTTCTCAGGCGCCACGCCGGAGGCCGCAGAAGGGATCTCGTAGTCATGATCGACAGGAATGTCCTCGAGCGCGATTCCTCTGTCCTCGTCCATAGCCTCCTCCACGTAGGCCTGTCGCGACGGATGCATCATCTTGGGCGGAACGGGGGCTGTCGCGGCCCCAGGAATCAGCTGCGAAAATAGGTAGAGTATCGACTAATGACAGAAGTTCAAAGAAGGAGAAGTTGAGCGAGCGGGATAACTGCGGCCAATGGCAGCCTGAAGGTGATTGTCTCCGGGTGGTGATAGGTAGCTGGTTGCCTTCCAAGGTAGAGCTCCATGCAGAGGTTCCAGTCGCGCCAGCTGCACTGGAAAATTTCTGATTAGGTAAGCTGACAGGTCGCGTTTGGGCAGCCACCGGATGCCAACGGGAGTGGGGCCGACTTATACTGGTTCACTTCGCTCCAGCTCAACGATTGTCCTCGTGCAAGTGCAGACCAACATCGAAGGCATTTCGAAATCTCCTCAAACCCTTGGAATTCTACGGATAGACAATACACAACTCACAGCCGAGCTCTGATAGTACTACCCACAATTCCCCCCTCTGCAACATGACCAAGGGCTGTACCCATCACTGTAGCCAGACGCTCCATGGCCATCTCATCAATTTGATGATGCAGCACAACCCTCTTCCCGTCAAGCTTGATCCCGTTTTTCCTCCCGAGAGCGTTCCATTCCTTGACTTCGATATTGCAGCGCTTTAGATCCAACCAGGCCATGTTGGTCTCGACAGGCTTGAGTAACCTCCCCCCTCTCTCCATCCACATCCTCCCAACCCTCTCTGCCAAAACACGACTGTTCCTCAAGACCCCTTTGGTATCTCTGTTTCTCAACCCAAAATTCTCAACAACCGCTTGTCGAGCTGCCGCCGCGAGAACACCGGCCTGTCGCATGCCACCTCCAATGCTCTTCCGGACTCGTTTCAGTCTCCGGATCAACTCGGCTGGGCCTAACACCATGGCACCCATAGGAGCACCGAGGTTTTTGCTAAAGTCGAGCGTCAAGACGTCACAACACTTTCCAAAGTCGTCCAAGGCGCCCGCTCCTGCTGATACAGCCTCCCAGAGGCGAGCCCCGTCCATATGGACGGCGACCCCATGCGTCGAAGCCCATGCCTTGATTCTCTGTAACTCCGCCAGGGGTATAACCACCCCGGAACTGGTATTCTCGATGCTGACGACCTGTGTGGGACATTTGTGTACATCATCCGTCAGAACAGCATGCTTCTTGATATCCTCGAGGGTAAGGTAAAGGCCATTCGCAGGACGAATGCCTTGGACCATCGCGCCCGACAAGTGCGCCACGCCGCCGGCTTCCCAGTGTATGATGTGCGCGCTGGCGTCGGCGAGGACGGCATGCGGCGGCTGGTGCAGGAGTGAGCGGATGGCAAGCTGGTTCGCCATGGTGCCCGAGAGAACGAAAGCCGCGCTTTCGTGGCCACACGTCTTGGCCATTTCCTCCTCGAAGTTTCTCGTCGTAGAGTCCTCGCCATAGACATCATCGTGAAGGGTCGTGCGAGCGATAGCCAAGAGCATGCCTTGGGAGGGAGTCGTGACCACGTCGCCTACGGTGGCGTGAGAACTGGGTTAAATTACACATTCGCTGGAGTCCGGTTGGGACTTACTTCTGAAGTCGAAGGCCGCGCCGGTTTGCGCGGGCGAGCCCCAGAGCACTGGGTTTGCCTCGTTGCTCGGCATGGCTTTGAGCGTAGACTTGATATGCTTTCGCAGACGTACGACTCTGGACAGCAGAAACACCAAGTGAATCAAAGGCTAGTCGAGAGGCCGATGTCGCATCTCTCAAGTTTTTCACAGCTGGGATCGCCCTACCTTCTTCGAGGGTCACACTAGGTAGATAAACTCATCAATCATTCGCGATATCCGGCTCAAATCGGGCTCATCACACCGCCGCCAGCACATAACACAGGCAGACTCATGACAATCTCAACACCGATCACCTCCCTCGTTCAGTGACCTATCAACTCGCCAACACACCTTGGCTGAATAATCCTCCAGGAAGGCAGGGGAGGCTTGGCTCCCGAAAAGGCTCAATTGGCGAGATAGATCTACCAAAAACGGCGTTGTCGCGCTAGACACCCAGGCTCGGACTCGACTCTGGCCTGGTCCGTGTAGATCGCGAGAACGGCCAGGAGGTTGCGGCCCGATTGGACAGCAAGCCCAGCGGCCAGCATCCTAAGTGCTTATGGCAGATGTAACCATCAAAGGTCTCACATGCAGCATGCAATCCTTTCAATAGCCTCAAAAACGGACAATGGGTAAGAAGCGCGAGAATGCTCGAGTCCAGTACTGGTATTTCGATGGGTCGCCATTCTCTAGATCCGAGGCGGCTTCTGTTTTGTAAGCGAGCTGGAAAGTTGGATTCTGGTTTGGGACAGTACATGCGAGTGAGATGCCTGTCTAGGATGAATGGTGCTCCCTGGGCGTGGCCTCGTCAGTAGCTGATGCGGGAACCCATCTTAGATAATTCAAGAAGGGCATTGGTATCCTTCTGCAAAAGCCAGCGTATATGTTCTTCTCTGATCGACTTCTTGTGCTCGTTTATCCTCATCGTTGCTTTCTAATGCCATCCAAGCCTTTTCAACCGTCTGCCGAGGAAGATGATCATGATCGAGACCTCCAGCTCTGAAGAGCTCGTTGTCGAGAAGAGCAAGCTTGCCGTCCGGGAAACCGACGAATCCGCCATTCTAGCACGCTACGGTGTCGAGAGACAAACCGACGGGCTCATCAACTGGCAACGAGACTGCAAGACGCACCCCCGGAATTGGACTCTCTCCAGAAAGGCGTTCGACACCGTGATCATCATCTTCTTTGAATTCTACACGTAAGGCTGTCCGTTGTTATATGCACCGCAGTATAGCCAAAACTAACATCGGTCAGCACCGTCATAAGCACAACAGGAGTATGTCACGTCCAAATCTTACTCCGTCATAAGCAGAAGCGGCCCGCAGATCGGCAAGACCCGAAGGCGTAGCATTTTGCCTTGAGGCAGAATCCTCCGCTGTATTCATCATTCTCTGCACTGGAGCGCGATGTTTCCATCTCAGAGACAGCGGATTCGTAACAGGACAGGAATCTACCTAGAGACATGCTGAACTTATTCTTGCACAGGCCGTGGCGGCTGCTGAAGCTGGGCCAGAGTACGGACTAAGCCGCCAAGCATCATTGGTTGGCTTCACCCTCATGTGAGTCGTGAGTCCGAGAGGCCTCGCGCAGTGTGCCCGTAAACTCATGAGCAACAGGTATCAGCTTGGCCAGGCCGTCGCAGGCTTCTTGATACCTCCATTCTCGGAGCTCTACGGCCGTCGGATCCCCTACCTCGTATCCTGCGCCGCGTTCTGCTTCTCCTGCCTCCTAACGGGCGTGTCGCGTTCATCCTCGGCGGTCTACGTCGGCCGCTTCGTCGCAGGCCTCGCATCCGCCGTCCCGTCCGTGGTCATCGCCGGCAGCGTGGAAGACATGTTCAACACCAAGCGCCGGGTCTGGATCATCGTCCTGTGGAACGCCGGGGCCGTGATCGGGCTGTGCATGGGGCCCGTCTACGCCGCCTACATCTCAGACGCCCTCGGCTGGCGGTGGATCTTCAACAGCGCCGCCATCGTCACCGGAGCTCTGTCTGTTGCCCTCTTCGGGATCAGGGAGAGCAGGCCCAGCCTCTTGCTAGGCCGCATCATCCGAGATATCAGGAAAGAGACTGAGATCCAGGAGTTGAGCTGGCACAACCCCGACGAGGCGCCCGACTGGAGAGCTCTGGTGCAGATCAGCATCATTAGGCCGGCGAGGATATTGCTCACGGAGCCTCTGGTCATCATGGTCGCCCTCATCTCGGCGTCGTCCTGGAGCATGATCTATCTGTTCACGGAGGCGCTTACGATCGTCTACGTCTCGCTCGGCTTCACCAGGACGCAAGCCTCACTGCCGTTCCTGGCCATCGCCGTGGGGGTTCTCTTCACCTTCCTGCCTCGGCTTTGGGATATGAAGGTGGTTCGGAACTGTCAGCGCAAGCAAGTCCCCGTCCAACCGTAAGATTCTGCTTGATTTCCGTCAGGGACTCGGGCAAAAAAAAGCTGACTGTTTCGTCCAGGGAAGACAAGATCATGGGCTTCGCCTTCGCAGCACCCGCCCAGGCCATCGGCCTGACATGGTTCGCGTGGACCATCCCGCCTCTCGTCGGAGGCGTCCACTGGATCGTGCCCACAATGTCACTTGTTCTCGTCGGATTCGCCGCCAACGAGACGAGCCACACGCTGAGCGGGTACCTTGCAGATTCCTACCTGCTGTATTCGGCGTCGGCTTTCTCGGGGCTGGCCCTGGTGAGGGCGGTCGCGTCGGGTCTGATGCCGCTCGTGGCCCACGAGATGTACGGCGCATTGAATGCCAACTATGCCGGGACGGTTCTTGCAGGACTGGCGGCTGTGTTCTGCATAACGCCGTGGATCTTCTTCCGGTTCAGCAAGCGGTTGAGACAGAGGAGCCCCTTTGCGAGGTTCAGTCTCGAGACGCATTACAGAACGAACGTCGAGGCGAACTGAGCTTCCGGTGTAATTATGCAAAGGAGCATGAAGAGACGGAAAAGAAAAAAAGGTGACGGCATTTGGGAGAGTTGTAGTTTGGTTGCTTATTTAATCGGCCATGTGACTCTGGAGAAGCGTTCGTCTTCCAAGTTTCAACAGGGTTGATAGCGGGAAATCACAGCAGCTTATTCAGTGGGAACCAGTGGAGAAGTTTACGTGCGTGGTGGTTGCTGCTGTTGCTGCGACGAACATGTGTTTGTGTGCGTGATGTGATGGATGCTGTTTGCATTTCTTGGACTTTCAGCTGAATCCTGAATCCGCCTCATTTAGCGAGCTGGATCCTGCGAGGCCAAACATTTTCGATGCAAGACGCTGAGAGGAGCTGAGTCGCAAGAATTCAGGTTGCATCTATTGGCAGCGAGGAACGCTTTGGCGGAGTCCGGACCATGCCCTTTGCGCGACCTGACTAAGTCTGGACGGCATCTCATCTCGGGCCAGTGTCGCATTTCGCATTCCCTTGTTTCTGAAGCGTCGCTCTCTCCGAGACATGCCTCAAACTCTCATTTCTTCTCTCCTCGATGCGCGCCTCGGGGGCTCCTTTGTTCAGACGGTCTTGCGCGCCAGCAAACATTCCCGACGGCCTTGTTGGTGTTGCCTCCTGTTTTCCCCCTTGAGGTGCCTTAATGGGCAGGGCAGGGAGACGGCAGCGCATAAAAATAGCAAATTTCAGGCAAAATTAGCGGCTGCGGACGCTATTAGGTACGGGTTTGTTAATGAACAAGACCGTTGTCAGACCACCCAGGCACGGGGCACCCCACAAATCGGTGACAATCCGCGGACGTCATCATCCTCGTCGAGCCCCTTCTTCGCTCCCAATTTCCGCACCTTTTAGAGGGGGCCAGGCAAGGCGAGGCCCGGTTTTTCGAAGGATTCCTGACCAGCCTCCACAACCGGGTAACGCAACGGTCAGGTGGTGGTGCTTGTGTGTGCCTCTTGTAAAGCCTCCAACAACAGAGCACCACAAGACCGCAAGCCAGTGGCCCCCTTGACTGTAACATCAGGCATGCAGCGATTCACAGATTGGGACCTTCCCGCTCCGCGGACGCCGTCCACCGCTTTCGGCAATAGCAGTGGAGGGTGACATGCTGATCCCCGCTGCTACCCGGCCTTGGATACAGATGAGGCAGGCAGGTGTTCGGTATGGATAGGCAGGTACCTGAGGCCTGGAGAGCGTCGACAGGCGGCAGAGGTGAGACTGCAGAAGGGGCTGGTAGCGAATTAAAGCGGTGGCATTTAGATGCAAGCAGGAACAAGCCTGAAATGTCAAAGCCCCGCGGCGATGGGAAAAAACCAACGAAAAAAAAGGAAAAAGAAACCCAGAATAGTGTAAGGTACATGTTTGGGCTGAATCGAGCAGGGCAAGAAGGTGCTAGCCCCTGCGCCTGCCGCGCCTGCCCAATGGCAAGGCCCGAAATTGAAGACCCAGCGCGGGTGGTGCCCGAATATTTTGGCTTCCGCACGCCAATCCTCCCCTCTAAGCCGCCCATGTGAAGGGCGAAAAGTCACTCGCCGGCTGACTGGACTTGTCGTGGTTGGTTGGCTTCCGTGTAGGAACCACCTGGGCAGGTACCTGATTACAGGGGAAACGCCGCAGGACAGGGTACTTTGTCTGCAGTGGTGGCCTGTCCCGTCCCATTCTCCCCTCCAGACCCCAGGCTCGGGTAAGGAAAGGCCTGGGCGGGCAGCATGGGCGGGCGGGCAAGGCGGGCTGAATTTTCTTGAATTTATCCCGCCAGGCCCTGTTTCTGAACTTTCCTCCTTTCCCTTTTCCTCCCTTCAACACCACCATTTTGGTGAAGACAACCATTTCCCACATTCACCACACTTACCCAGAAACCGACCGCCACCCAATGCATAATAAGAAAGATTCTTACGACAACTCCTGCTCATTCTTCCGCCGTCAGATGCGATATCCGAGCCACAAGAAGACCCAGCGAAACTACGAATCCGAGCCGCGCGCTGATCCCGAGCGACGACGAGGCACGCTCCTTGTGCTTCCCATTTAAACCACCCACAAAAGTGAAGACCACCGCCAGTTTCGGGCGCGAGCGGAGAGCCCCCGCGCGCCCCTCGTTTACGGGCAATATTCACTACTACAAGGAGCGACCTCCATAAAAAACCCTCAAAAACACCGGAACCATGATTGCCAAGGCGACGCCCGCACTCAACACGGTGCGCGGCTTCCAAAATACCCCCGTCACCTCCGGCGACGAGGACGACGACTATGGTGTCGGCGCCGTCTGCGCTACTCCCCCCCTCTCAGTCAAGTCGAAGCGCGCCGCTCGCCCCGGCCGCATCGACGACGTCGTCAGCGCCAACTGCAGCCCCGTCATGCGCGGCGCTTCTTCCCCGGCCGTGTCCGGCATCGCCAAGCTCCGCATGCAGATGGAGCCCCTTAGCCTTGACACCTCCTCTCGCACAAGCACCATGAGCACCGTCGTCACCCGCAACGGCCACGGCGAGAACGGCTTAGGCATCCGCAGCGCTGCCATGAGCCGCACCGGAAGCAACGACGGGACCCAGAGTGAGGCCGGCAGCGAGCGCTCTGAGAGCGGCTCCACGAGCTATGAGATCAACCTGACTCACGACTATGTCGACGAGAGCGTGCGCGAGCGCACCGGCAACATCATTCCCATCGAGGGCGGCAACGCGCCTGCGCGCAAGATGACGGCCGGCGACTTTGAGCCTCTGCGCTGCCTGGGCAAGGGCACCTACGGAACTGTACTCTTGGTCAAGCAGCGCAACACCGGACGTCTTTATGCCCAGAAGCAGTTCAAGAAGGCGTCTTTGACGGTGCACAAGAAGCTCATTGAGCAGACCAAGACGGAGCGCCAGATCCTCGAGTCGGTCAACCGACACCCCTTTGTCGTCAACCTGTACTACGCCTTCCAGGACCATGAGAAGCTGTACTTGATTCTCGAGTACGGACAGGGCGGCGAGCTTTTCACGCACCTCAACATGGAGAAGATGTTCGCCGAACCTGTCGCGGCCTTCTACATGGCGGAGATGCTTCTGGCCATCTCCTACCTGCACAGCAGCCTGGGCGTTGTTTACCGTGACCTGAAGCCGGAAAACTGTCTGCTGGATGCCGAGGGTCATCTGCTGCTTACCGACTTTGGTCTGTCCAAGGTTGCCGTTGACCCCTCAGAGGACCACTGCAACTCGATGCTTGGCACCGTGGAGTACATGGCTCCCGAGGTGATTAATGGGCAGAAGTATGGCAAGGCCGTCGACTGGTGGTCCTTTGGCGCGCTTGGCTTTGATCTGATGACGGGCAACCCGCCGTTCCGCGGCGGAAACCACGCTAAGATCCAGCAGAACATTGTCAAGCAGAAGCTCGTCATGCCTTACTTCCTCAGCCCGGATGCGAAGGACCTCTTGACGCGCCTCCTCAAGAAGGACCCCAAGAAGCGCCTGGGCGCCAACATGCCCAAGGACCTGCAGATCATGAAGGGCCACCGCTTCTTCCGCAAGATCGACTGGAAGAAGCTTGCCGCCAGAGAGGTCGAGCCCCCTATCCAGCCGTTGATCACCGACCCGGAGCTGGCCGAGAACTTTGCGCCCGAGTTCACCGACCTGTCGCTGAGCCCTGTGGTGATCTCCAAGGACCACTGGAGCGCGTTGTCGGGTAAGGAGGACGACCCGTTCGGAGGCTTCAGCTACGTCGCATCGAGCAGCCTGCTAGAGAGTCACGCGTTTAGATTCACCACAGAGGTCTAGAGAGAGAGACAGAGAGCTAGACTCAGAGACAGCACAGAGCAATGGCGTTTTGTCTTTTGGTGCGAGAATACACTTGTGCGCAGTGTTAGGATGGGAAAAGTTTGAGCAGGCAACCGCGGCACAGACCGGTCAGCGTGGAATTGTTTGAGACGACGCCCCCTTTTGATTGAAACGCAGAGCCCCCGACCTTACAACCCGATTCGGCAGTGTGTCTAATTCGAGGAAGGGGGTGTCTTTTGTCGAGAGCATCAGAAGACGTTCAAACTCGGGGGATAGTCCGTCTACTCACGGGCGTTAGATCAGTGGTTTTTCAGTTCAGTATCGTCATGGGAAATATATACGAGCTTTTGACTTTTCTTATGGTGAAAACCAGGCTTTCTTCCCATGCACAAAGGTGCAGAAGTCATCCGTTGCTTCCACGACCTCAACAAACCCTCTCCCGCGGGCGATCCGTAGATTCCACGACCTCGATACTAAGCCATGGGCCTGATGTCGACAGGAGGAGAAGAGTCTCTCCATCAACCGCCGGCTCCGGCGGACGGGCCAGCGAAGCGGCGGTCTTGCATGAGAAACACACCTGGCTCAACTCTGTTAATCCTCCAATATGACGGCTCGCCGCGTCGGCGTCACCAAGCCACCACGTACTTGATGTGGACAGAACGGCTGAGAGGAACCGCGGCCCACGGCATCCGCGGTCAGATTCCCTCTCCCAAAGGACGTTGGAGCCGGATGATGACATACCGTGCCGGCGGACCGTCGTCGTCCTCCTCATTTTGAGGCTGCTGCTTCGGTGAGCTCACCTTCCCTCCTCCCGTTCGGTGTTCCGGCAGGCTTGCGGCGTCAGCTCGTCTTTGGCAAGTTCGGATTCTGCTGGGCTGACGACCCTGACGACTTGGAGAGGCGAAGCTTCAGAAGCAAAGAAAACGGCGGCGGCGCACGTTCGTTTCGTTCGGGCATTTCGGATCTTTTCCGTCCGTAATACGCATGAGGAAGGATTTCTTAACTTTTTGTCCTCCTCCCTCTCCGACTTGTCAAATACCAGGAAGGGTCTTTCTCCATCTTAACCTTTTTCTTTCTTAATTTTCCAGTTGGTCTCGTGTTTCACGGGCTGAAGAAGTTATGCTTGATTATGCCTTGGGGTGACGATGCGTGTACACATGTTACTGGACTTCGGATGCATAAGCAAAAATGGCCAAGATAGGCCTGCGCGGCGCACAGTTCTCGATGGTGCCTCGTCT